TGGGAGAGGGAGGGAGCCAGTGCCTCGGGAGCACACGTGGATTGCTAGAGCCAGGAGGCAGCTGCATCTGTGCAAATGAAAGGGGGCGAGGGGTGACAACTGCTGGGTTGGGGGGGGGGTCTCCCTTCTCCATGGAAGGCTCCATCCCCAGCCTGCAGAAGGTGGCTCGGGAGACGTGGCTGGTCCCCTCTAGGAGTAGTGAATGCAGGGGAGCCTCGGGCCACAGAGACTCTTTGCTCGGGAGAGAACTTTCCTTTTTGGCTCCTGCGGGCTGGTGCTGTAATCTCTGCCCCACATATGGGGTTTGCTTGTTATCCTGTTTCTCCAGTGCCTTCCCTTCCCTCCGTGAAGGGCCCAGGTCCAGCGAAGAGTAGCAGGGGAGAGAATCACATGACAACAAAAGCCAAGATTCTCAGTGTGTGTGGCTGGCCTGGCCATGGAGCTCTTGCAGGGGCTCAACTTAGCTTCAGAGGCAAACTTTGTAGCACCCCACCCCTGGATAGCCAAGGCGTCCTGGTGGCTCACCTCCCCACAGCCGTGCGCATGCGTCCCCAAACTAGATCCGGCGCAGAGCCTTGGGGCTTTGTTCTCTCCTGCCCCTACAGGAAGCCAGCACTGATGCTCTGTTCTTGAGGGGAGGACACAAGAATGAAGCTGGAGTGCAAGGCAGGTGGCAGTGGCGGTTCCCCACTGGGTTGTGGAACGTAGAGGCCCCGGACCCGGAAGTAAAAGTGGGGCTGAAGGCAGCTGCTGCCCCCAACCCTCCTGAAGGGAAGCTGGGGGGCCACTGTGGAGCCCAGAGCACCCCGAAAGAGGGGACCCCGAGCCATGGCCGCCACTTCTGTTTCTGAGTCTGTGGAGGCTGAGGGGGGCCAACATCCTGCAGGACATTTTGAGATATAATGAGAGAGACTATTCCAGTTCTATCTCTTTTAAAGCAAAAGGAAACGAGACTTGGTCACAATGGACCCTTTGAACATTTCTTCTTCCTTGGCTGTGAGGAGCAATTATATTTGGAGGTGCAAATCATCTCACTCATAGCTTGTTATATATTCATCATCATAAAATCTTTGCTAAATAGGATTTGCTCATTAATTTAATGCTATGTATTTGCTTTCTTTTTAGGCAATGAGTTACATATCTTTCTGGCAGACCAAAAGGAGCCATATTTCAAACCCAAAGTCCATTTGTCAATGAAGTAAGCACTGATACATAATATTTTAATGGTGATGGAATAGAAGCTTTCACTTCTGTTAAGATTACTGAATTGGAAACTAGATCTAGTGGCAGCATCATTAGGATTCTTTCTGGATCGTTTTTTGTCTGTTTAATTCAGTTTGTCCATACTATTCAAACTTAAAAAAGAAGCATGCTGAATCATGTTGTGAAAAGCCATTTGGTGTATTTGCACTCCTGCTTATATTTTATATATTCCCTGAGAGAAGATGGGGAAATAAGAACTTTGTAATTTTTTACAGAAATTACACCTTAGAAGAAAATCTCAGCTTCACATAAGTAATGCAAAATATAGGCCTGATTTTCAGTTCCTGTGCAAATGCCCACCTACTGTGTGCACAGAAAACTGAATATCCTTATATACAGGGCTTGATGAACGGCGGCGAAAGCCGCTTGCCAGCCCCGCATTGCGGACGCTCAAGAGCCGCCGGTAAACGGGGCGCCGGGCTGAAATCTACTCTCCAGGGCGAGTAAATTCAATAGATTGTCAAGCCCTGCTTCTATACATCTTTCATACGTGCATGTGTGTATATAACTGTATACAGTAAAACTCCATTAGTCCGGCATCCAATGCTCTGGGACTCCTGATGGTCTGGCACCATCAGGAACCCGGAAGTGCTGGGGCAGCCGGACAGGCTTCCTCCATTCAGCTGCTGCTGAAACTGACCAGCAGTGGCTGAATCAGGGACACCTGGGGCAGAGCCTGACTATCGTAAGGGGGGTTATGAAGGGTCTGGGGTGGCATCCCCTCCCACCCCACTCCAGAACCCTCATAGCCCCCCCTTCTAATAGTCCGGCATATCTGACAATCCGGCACCCTCTGGGTCCTAAAGGTGCCGGATTATCGGAAGTTTACATAGGATTGCCTAATACAGTAATGACAAAAATTCATACATAAAGAGACACTTAAAAAGTATTTTCTCTTACTACCTTTTCCAGAAATATAGAGCTCTATATTTCAACTAGTTCAGCACACCAAAATATGCCCTCAATTGAAAGTGAATTTTTTTTGTAAAAATTAAAGCATTAAAATTATGAGTGAAGTTAGTGATTGTGAAAAAGTGAGCAACAGATGGCACAGACTTCAAACCAGTTTGGTATCAGCATGTA